TCAATTGGTTGTAGGTACTGGGTTGAAGGTGTCATTTGATGATGAGGGTTCTGAAATAACTGAGAAGAAGTCCAAGGAAGTGCTACTGAAATCTAAAAGAAAAGGCGAAATGTACCCGTTGAATATGAATCCTATCAAAGGGAAGCCAGCCATCTGCCTTCTTACGAAAGCATCTTCGGATGACAGTTGGCTTTGGCACCGAAGGCTCTTGCATTTGAATTTCAAGGAAATCAACAAACTCGTACTTGGCGAACTTGTTCGAGGTTTACCTCTTTTAAAGTTTGAGAAGGAACGTCTGTGTGCAGCTTGCGAGCTAGGGAAGCAAAATCGTAAAAGTCACTCGACTATTATCAATACTAAAATAATCGAGCCTCTAGAATTGTTACACATTGATCTTTGTGGCCCATCAACCATCGAGAGCATTGGTGGTAATAAGTACATTCTAGTGATAGTTGATAATTTTTCAAGATTTACTTGGGTTTACTTTCTTAGACAGAAATCGGATGCCATTTCAAAGCTGAAGGACTTCATCAAGTAGATAGAGCTTCAATTGTGAAAGCCAGTTAGGAACGTTCGCATCGATAATGGTTATGAATTCAAAAACCAAGTGTTTGAAGAATTCTTAACTGAAAAAGGAGTTGCTCACAACTTCTCTGCTCCTTACACTCCTCAACAGAACGGAGTCGTTGAAAGACGAAACCGCTCTCTTTGCGAAGCTGCAAGGACTATGCTATCTTTTGCGAACCTTTCACTTTACTTATGAGCTGATGCTATCGGAACTACTTGTTTCACTTAGAATCTCTCTCAGATCAATAAACGATTATTAATTACACCTTATTAGATTCTGAACAAAACAAAAGCCTAACGTAAAATTCTTTCATGTTTTTGGTTCCAGGTGTTTCATCTTCAACTCTAAAGAACACTGGAACAAGTTTGACGTGAAGGCTGATGAGGGAATATTTATGGATTATTCTCTTACTTTGAAGGCGTATAGGGTTCTGAACAAGAAATCATGAATGATTGAAGAAACCTATTATGTGACCTTTGATGATAATTATCTGAAGAAATACCAAAAAGCCGATTGTCTATCCGAGGAAAATTTTCCTTCAACAAATCCGATGGCGATTCCTCTTTCTAGCCTTTATGAGGAGTTTATGAATTTGTTTAGTAAGCCTGATAGAGCCATTTCCTCATAATCCAAAGCAAAATACAATCAGGTTGATGAACTGAAGAAGATTGTAAATGAGGCTACTAAAAATGTTGAAACCTCTCAAGAGCCTCCGAGTCCGAACGCTTCGGAATTTCCAACACAGGAAGGACATTCTGGTTCTCCATTCCAGGGGGAGAGCTCATCTTCTATTTCCCATACTGATCCTCAGTTTCAGGGGGAGAAACTGATTCCAAATGAGGGAACAAATGCAAACTTCCAGGGGGGAATGAGACTGAAAATAATGATTCTGATATGCAATTGAAATTTGAGAAAGTTAATGCCGAAGTTGATCCAGCATATGATCCACAGTATCCTCCTTTAACAAAATGGACTAAAGATCACCAAAAAAGTCAAGTGATTGGAGAGTTATCCATAGGAGTACTTACGAGGGAACAACAAAAGGCGAAGAAAGCTGCATTATTTTCTAAAATGGAATTTTGCATGTTTAATTCGTTTATCTCCAAGGTCGAGCCTAAAAATGTGAAGACCGCTCTTGATCATGTTGATTAGGATCAAGCCATGCAAGAAAAACTCAATTAATTCGAGCGTAATAAGGTCTGAAGATTAATTCCAACTCCGAAGGATGCTTCAGTCGTCGGTATGAATGGGTTGTTTCGGAACAAATTAGACAAGGAAGGAAATATGATCCGGAATAAAGCACGACAAGTTGTGAAGGGATATTGCCAAGAGGAAGGTGTTGATTATGAAGAGACGTTCGTACCAGTTGCAAGGCTAGAATCAGTTTGGATCTTCCTTGCATATGCAGCTCACAAAAGCTTTGAAATCTATCAAATGGATGTGAAGTGTGCATTCTTAAATGGTGAATTAGAAGAAATAGTCTATGTGGAGCAACCACCAGGTTTCGTGAGTGAAAAATATCCAAACCATTGTTACATATTGGATAAGGCGGTGTACGGTCTGAAACAAGCACCATGAGCTTGGTATGAAACTCTAACTTGTTTTTTAAAGCAATCAAAATTTAAACAAGGTTCGGTTGTCCCAACCTTCTTTTGCAAGAAAGATGGTGACCACCTTATGATCATTCAAATTTATGTTGATGATATCATTTTCGGCTCTACTAATCCAAAATTAACTGTTGAATTTCGAAAAATGATGGAAACTAAATTTGAAATGAGCTCAATAGGTCCAATTAACCTTTTTCTTGGATTAAATATTAGACAGAGTTCAGAGGGCAAATTCAGCATTTAATAAGCCTACACAAAGACCTTACTTGCAAAATTCGGAATGGCGGGTAATTCAAAGGTCAAGGTTCCAATGGCATTCGGAACAAAGCTGACTTCATCCTTGGACAAGCCAACAGCGGATATAACTCTTTATAGATAGATGATTGGATCTTTAATGTATCTAACATCAAGTCGTCCAGATACAATGTTCGATGTTTGTTACTGTGCCAGGTTTCAAGTGAATCCTCGGGAACCACACATGATCGCAGTAAAGAACATCTTCGGATACCTTAAAAGAACTACTTCTCTCGGCATATGGTATCCATCCAACTCCGGATTCTTCATTCAAGCTTTTTCAGATGCTGATCTTGGTGGATGTGGTCTCGATCTTAAAATCACTTCTGGGGGATGTCAGTTTCTAGATGGCAAACTTGTTACTTGGCAATCCAAGAAGCAGCCGTGTGTATCCCTATCTACTGCAGAAGTTGAGTACATTGTAGTTGCATCATGCACTTTGCAAATCATATGGATTTAGAATCAGCTGAGGGAATATAAGATTAACATGAAGAGGATCCCTCTATACTGTGATTCTGAAAGCATAATTCGGATATGTCATAATCCAGTGCAACATTCCAAGACGAAACATATAGCACTAAGGTATCATTTTATAAATGATCACGTAGAGGATGGCAATGTTGAAGTTCATTTTGTAAGATCCTCTGATCAACTTGCTGATATCTTTACGAAAGCCTTACCTGAGACAACCTTCAATCGAATTCTACAAGGCTTAGGAATGGTAGAAGCTGACTCGGTTCCGAAACCAGCTTCGCAATCGGAACACATTGGTTAAATTCCGAATGGCTCCGAGCCTTCAGAGTAACTCGAAATTCACTGTTCATATTCTGAATGGCTCCGAGCCCTCGGAACGCTTTAGAATCTACTGTTCATCTGGTGATTCAGAACGTCGTGTATCCTTTGTATATTAAGTATCTTCCGAATGATTCAGAACTTATCATTTGTGTTTCTGTTTTTATTTTTCTGTTTTTATTTCTTTTTCAGAAAATCCAAAAATCACATAAATATTTTCTTATTTCTGTTTTTTTTATTTGTTTTCAGAAAATCCAAAAATGACAAAAATATTTACCTTTCTGTTTTCTCTTTTAAGAAAATGAAAAACTTCAAAAATATTTTATTTTTCTTTATTTGTTTTTGTGCTTATTTTGAAAATACCAAAAATATTACACTATTGAGAAGCTTTCATGCACATATTAATCGTAATCTCAATTCAAAATGATGGGGCAGGTATATAATTACGAATATATGCACTAGTTAAGTGTCCCTAGGAGCATGTTGACCCAAGCCTCTGAGACTCTATGTGAAGCCTTAATGAAACTCTCACTCCGTTTGTTTCTTCCCAATCAGGCTGATATTCACTTAAGTCATTGAGCTACCTTCCTCTTCTCACATTGAGTTAAGAGTTGACTGCTTAGTTATTCATCTATAGCAGAGGTACACCTTCTTCAGAACCACCTTACAATTTCTCCATCATATTCGCTTTCACAATTGTAACCCTTGAGACTCTCAGAATTTACCACTGAGGTTTATGGTTACACAACATCTGTGTTTATGATCTTAAATTCACTATCACCACGATTTGAGTGAAACCCAAAATCCGAATCCTATTTCTGTATTGACAGTGAACAATTAATATGTTCTAGATTTTTCACCATGGAATTGACGAACAACAACCCTAGTGGTTTGTACCTTGGAATCTCATTATTTTTATTTTTGCGAGATCTTAATGAAATGTTCTCGACCTAAGATATTTCTTCCCAATAGATCAAGTTTTTATTTTTCTTGAGATTTCTACATTCACTAGCCACTTAAATAAATCCAAACCATACTTGTTATTATGACTACACTGGTCAGACAAGTACTTCTTCCAGACATTCGGACTTATGTTGAGTTTCAGAATTTGGTTGAAGCTATAGCCACCTATGAAGCATATTCAAAAGATGCCTTTCACTATTTCCTAACAAATAGATGATCGTAATTCAACGGGATGCCACACAAGCACTTCCGAATCTCTCTTGATTCAGAAGGAAGAGATCGTTTCCCGGGATCCATCTGCTTTTATGTCTACTTTGACATCACAGATTCCCACATATATATTTTGATTTATTTCTTCATCTTTGGCACACTCTTGCACGAAAATCTTCATGATTTTTCAAAAGTTTGGTCTAACAATTCCGAATGATTACTTTCCATTACGAACAAAGGTTATGGTGATTGGTGTCTAATTCCGAAAGAACAGAATTGAAAGGGCGGTTTCTTGGTGGATAAGGATTCAAATTAAGGCGCGTCCTTTTCAAAGCCTGACATCACGCCTGTCAGTTGTAACGTCGCCTGACACACAGCTGTTGCGTATTTCTAGGCTACCTTACCGGGATATGGGGAGATCATACGGCGGATTTTTTCTCTCACCACTTATCACAGAGGTATAAAAGGAAAATCGACGATTGATTTCTTTCACCACTTTCAAAATCTCTCAGGCGAAAAACCCTTTTCTCTCCCTACACTGTTCATCATTGTCTCCAACTGCTTCTATGGCTGCTTCATCTGAAACTCCTTCTGTTGCTAAACAAACCGCTTCCACAGTCATGTTGAACATCAAACCAAACCAGAATTTGGCTCTGGATCTCGATTCTTCCAAGTATGTTGATTCTCTCAATTCAATGGTCGAACGCCTACGTTACTCTCCATTGGCTCAAGCACTAACAATGGCTGAGAGTGTACCTTTGGTTCATCTGTCCAAGGCATTCTCCACTACAAACTACAAACAAAGTGAAGTTATGATTACTTTTGAGATCGATTCTCACAAAACCTCTATCTCTAAATCCCGATTTTGCAGGTTGCTAGGGTTTACTGCTACAGATGATCTCGTCAACCCTGAAACGATTTCTTCATCAGCGATTATCGAGATGTTCTGTCACACCCCCAAACCGGAATGGCGGAAACGTTCGGGGGTGGATGACTTCATGTGTAGTATCACAACCATTGCATCATAGTAATCAAAGTAAACACAACCATTACATTGATTAAGTAAAAATATTTACATCAGTTTGATCCATGTTTATACACTTCAAAGGTAAGATAAAAGTAAAAGACGAGACTCGATACGCTCCGTCTTCTCAAAACTCCAGGAGGTACCTGTCTACTGATTTCCTGAGAATACAAGCAGTTTTGAAAGAGTATCAGCATAAAGCTGGTGAGTTCATAAGCGATGTTTTTGTAATGAAAACCTGTTGATGAGTCTATGAAAATGTTCGTATGTTTCCAAGAAAATCCAATATTTTCTTTAGTGAAAGCATGATAATACCAGTTCCTTCTCTAACCACTTAGTTCATACTAGTCACGCATAAACCAATATCGACTAGACAGTGGATTATGTGGATCTACCCTAAGCCCACAACCAAACAAGGAACAGGAAATGAGGCAGAAACCACATACTCCACGGTCTATCGAGTATTCTTCATACGTAACCCTGATGCATAAACTAAGGAGTTATAGAACTAACTATGAATGTTTGTTACTGTATCCTTTGTAGTATTTAAAACATATTAGTCTGTATGTTTGGTTACTACCAGTATGTATAGTATGTTCTGTTTGAAAACCCTGGCTACCACCAGTATGTATAGTATGTTCCATTTGAAAACCCTGACTACGTGTTCTGTTTGAAAACCCTGGCTACCGCCAGTATGTATAGCTGTTTTATTATTTAAAACAAAACCGAGTAGTGTATCCCTGAAATCCTCCAGTATAATGTATAATAGTTCTATTAATGAAAATAAAACTAATGAAGAATGAAATCTCGTAAACAAAGGTTAGTTTATACTTATTGTGGGTCGTATAACCATGCTTGATATGACCTGGTGACCTTTACGACGTTCTTCAAGTGTCGGTTAAATGATATTTGTCACCTCAGGCATGCCTGCCTAACTGTAGCTAGCAGTTCAGGTGTGGGATTGTCAGTCCCAAATAGATCTATTCACAAATATCACGCTCTCCCTCCAGGAGACTCTGGTTATACTATGATAGGATTTGATTCAGTACACCTAAGGGTACAGTTTTGAAGTAGAGTCTCACAATTCTGCATAATCTAGTTTACATGTAACTCTGTATTGTTCTTTTGTATTTGAATCCGTTGAATACTGTATAAGGTAATAATTATACTTAAATAATTATTAAATGTTATACTCTTGTAGTAATGTATATCATAAACTAAATTTGTCATAGTTTATATGTTTAGCAGTGTATAACTCTGAATTCGTAAAAGTTGTGTATTGAAAACCCCAAACTATACCTATTATAGTTTTCATGTATATTGTGTATTTGGTTTGTATATTGATCTGAAAACTATGCAATTATGGTTGTACGTTGAAAACGTCCCTTATGCTCAACATAGTACAAAAGGGATAAAATATCTGAATATTTTATAAAAACGTGGAAATCGTTTGTCTGTATCAATTGCATAAGTTTTATACTTGTTAAAATCCTTTTGTTTTAGTACACAAAATCATTTGTGTTTGGCTTGTATTCCCCCCTAAAAACGTTTAAAAACCATAAAAGCGTAGGGGTATGAACTCACTGTTAGCTGTGTACAAGCGTCGAATCAACAGACTGAATGAAAACCCTCGAGTTGTAGTGTGGCACTTAACGGAATCCTAATAACAATTAAATACATAAATGTATCTAAATTAGCGATTTCATTAGATAATGTGTTAGGAAAACACTTGCTTTCGGTTAAGAAATGTTACCGGGACTTGATCGAATCGAGGAAAGTGGGTTTTCAGTCAAATGCACCACTTAAAAGTGTGTACGGCTGTGAAGGGAGTGTACGGCCGTGAACTGGTGTACGGTCGTAAATAGGGTGTTCGGCCTTTGAAGGTGTACGGCCGTAGACTGGTGTGCGGTCAATGAACTTGAAGGTGTACGGCCGTACACTCAAGAACAAAGGTGCTGATTTCGATGAGAAATGTGTTCCAGATGCTCCGAAATGACCCCCAATGGTGTTTTTCGACGTTTTTCGGAAGGTTTTAGAGTGTCTTTGGTGTGTACGATCAGAAGGTAGAGAGAGGAAATGAGTGAGTGTTCGGCCAAGAAGGTTCAAATGAAGGTGGGGGTCTCATATATATAGCCCGGGGGTATGGGGTCCACCTGCTCATGTACGGCCGTACACGGATGTACGGCTGTGAACTCAAGTCAGGTCGTGAACTCGGTCTCGTTCGGAGGAATTCCCGAAATTTCGAGTAGTTTTGGTTCCAACTCGAATATAGAACTCAATATATATAGTTAAATGATTTTCCAAACCGAAGGAAATTGACGGAACCCAATAAAATAAAATTTTATTAACGGAAATTAATTAACGGAAACTAAAGAAGGGTTCGGGTTGTCACATGTTCTATCAAATGGGGTATCTTAAAATTTTCACTCTACTGTCGAAGTTCAGGAAGCCCAACCTTCCTCCTATGTGGAATGGGATTTTTACTCTATTATTTAAAAGCTTTTTTGAACGTGTTACTGGATCTGATAGTGCTAGCAAGCTCTTGTACACGATTATCTACGGTCTTTACAAGGGTGTTAACCTCGAATATGGTTATGTTCTTTGGGCACATGAAACATCCCAAAAATACAGTCCAAAAATTTCGTTTTTAAATCATTTAGGAAAACCATAATTCATCAATCATCATAATAAAATCACAAGTCATGTATCCCCAAAACATCATATCCAAGTATTGTATCAAAATCACATGTCAAAACATCAGAGTCTAAACATCTCAGGCTAAAAGTTGTGGTGTCTGCCATGCAGTCATCCCGAGCTCTTCCCCTTGCTAGTGGAAGTACCTGAAACCAAAACTGAAACTGTAAGCACGAAGCTTAGTGAGTCTCCCCAACTACCACATGCCATACACATAATCATGCAACTAGGAGATACGGTCCCCGCCCACTCTCATGGATATTCGGGCCCCGCCCACACTCTGCTGTCTAGGAGATTCGGGCCCCGCCCACACTCTGCTGTCTAGGAGATTCGGGCCCCACCCACACTCCGCTATCTAGGAGATTCGGGCCCCGCCAACACTCCGCTGTCTAGGAGATTCGGGCCCCGCCCACACTCCGCTACTAACATCCACACAAGTATCACACAGACAACAAGTATATCTGTTTCTAACAAGCAGTCACATATCCATACTCAAATAATACTACGAGATTCGGGCCCCGTCCACACTCGGCTACTATGAGATTCGGGCCCCGCCCACACTTGGCTACTAACATATCGCATATACGGGCCGGCCTTGGTGCCGTAGACCCGTTCCTACTGAAGGAAACTCACCTCTCAAGCTGGCTGCTGAAATCTCGTGTGAGGAATCTCTAATAGTTGCTCCAACCACTCCCCGGCTATCATTATCGCAATAATTACTTAGTCAAAAACTGATAATCCTTCTAAGGGTAAAATGACTATTTTACCCCTGGTCAAAGTCAACATTCTGACTGACTCAACTCGTCGAGTTGACCTACCAACTCGCCGAGTTCTATAACTCATAAATCCTGGAATCACGATCCAACATGCCGAGTCATACCCCTGACTCGTCGAGTTCTATCTGGTACAGAATCGGGACAACACGATTCAACTCGTCAAGTTCCTCTATGGACTCGACGAGCTCTTCAGTCTGTTTGGGCCATCTTAAGGGATTAAGCCCCTACTTTTCAGATCCCTACTCCATACTTCATCTACATACTGGAAATACCCTTTTAAGGGTAAAGTTTCCAACTTTACCTACTAGTAGTCCTTCCAAAAGAGTTAAACTCAAACCCTAGCTCTCTAGAACATAGATCTTGGTCCAAAAGCCATAATACTCCAAACTAACCCATCCTAACATAGATGTAGGCCTTAGACACCACTTGAATACGTAAAGCTCCTAACTTTCCTTCCATGCATGGCCTTTTGGGGCTTAAAAGGCCATAATAACACCTTAAAGCTTGCATGGGGCTTCCATGGTCATAAGGTTTGCACCTTTATGCTATGAAACGCCTTTTAGACTCCAGATCTGGAAGGTAGAACACTTGGGACGTCCATTTCCCAAGGACCAAGTTTCTTGAACCAAAAACCCCATAAAGTGATAAAGAAGAGATCTAACAAGCTACTAAGCAAGGTGGAGACTTGATTACCAGAAAATAAACGGGATGAGAAGTTGCTTCTGGATCTACTAGCTTCCTTCGGAATCTCCAAGCTTCTTCTCTTCTTCACAAGCTTCAAATGCACAAAGATCACTCAAGAATGGCTCACAAACTCACACAAGGGTCTAGGGTTTCGTGGTTTAGGGTTTGGGACTTGGAGGCTGGAACTAAGGCCAAAATGTGGGGATTAAGTTGCTTAAATAGGGTGCAAAACCCTGAAATTAGGGTTTCATGCTGGCAGACCTACTCGCCGAGTTGAAGGTCTCAACTCTTTGAGTAGATGGCATAAAACCCGCGTCCAAATCTCATTTATACTCGACGAGTCTGGGGCTCCCAACTCGTCGAGTAGCTTTACTAAAACGAATAAGTTATACTTAAATGCGTACCAGGAACCAGGCGTTACAGCACAGCTTGTTCAAGCACACTCTCTACATCAAGGCATTCAGATAATTCATGTGCTAGATTTTGGTCAGTCATTGTCAAGCGTGCTATTACTCGTCTTCAGGTTCAAGTGCACGAAGACTCTATGATTGTTGTTATTCCAATCCTGAATACATCAAACTTCATTGTCTCTAATCCCACTAAGTTTGGCTTTGTTGGTTCAATTCCTGAAGCTATGCTCTTGAATGTTCCTGCTAATAATGTTGTGGGGAATAAATACCGAAAGAAGCCTATTTTTGGTATTCTTCCTATGCCTGAAGATTTGTGAAAGAAGGTTAAGAAGTCTTCTTGCAAACCAAGATATCCTTCTCCTATCGCTCAAGAGGATTCGCAATCCCAGACTGTTTCTAACTTATGAGGGGAAGATAACATTCAGCATGAAACCGAAGAC